GTTCGCATCTTCACGTTGAGACTTTTACTATTACTGATAATGAATCTAACTCTACCCATGGTCTTCGTGAACATTCCATTTCCACCTGCAATCCAAAACTCGTTAATCGAAAACATTTGTGATACCAGTTCCCACACTTCACCCTGGATTCTCGATTTCTCGAGCTATTATGTCTTCCCTGTACTACATAAAATCTGCCGATGTCAGCCTAATAATTCGCTCATCTATTGCACTTTTGTGCGGCACCCACGTCCATCATTTTCCGTCTCCAGCATGGTCATTTGTGACAGTTTATAACTATAACATACAAAAAATGTGTGCAGAACGAGATATTTCCGAATAAGATATACAAGAAGAAGAAGAAGGTGTGTAGAGCACATGAAGACAATACACTCTAATCACGTGGGTTACCAGGATACTCTTTACTCGTTACATCTAAACTTGTTTTTACCAATCATTCTATGAAATAAAATCTAGTAAGTAACCCCGAAATGATCAGGTATTGAATTCCAATATTTAGTACCAAAAATCGGACTCTGTTGCTTGGCAAACAACACAATCCTCCACTCTCCCATTCCCCAGCCCCAATTTTAAAAAAAGAAAACAACTTCAGTTTCGTTATCACCGCCTGAACGGACGCTAATGTCACGAGCTGACTGCTTCAGACCTGGTGAAACTGACCAGGTGGACCTCTTGAAGCTTACCAGGTTATCTGGGATGAAGACACCTCAAACACTGGCCGTCTAACACCCCCACCCCGATGTATTGGCCGGCCAGTTAAGATAACTTGATGACCTTCTTGTTTCGAACTGAGTGGCCTCAGCTAATAAGGAGTCAACCAGCAGTTGCCTAAACTCTAAACTTCTGTTGTCTTTTAATTGTTGTAACAAAATGAACTGACCTCGCAATTTAAAACAACAATTTATTTGAACTATATTACTAGTCATTGAAAGAATTACAATATCTGTCAATGTCAACTTATGGATTCCATCGGATTTATTTGATAGGCATAACATGGTTGTGGCCGTCCAAACTGATTTTAAAAAAACCGTCCAAATATTACTACTATAAGGTTTGTACCCCCTCCCTTCCATAACCACGTCCCATACCCATAAAATGGAGTAGTACATTGACATTCTGTCAATAGATTAGATATTGAAGACCTTGGTCGTGTCCGATTGTCAAGAAAATATTGCTTAGTCAGCTTCCTGAGGACTCGGACATTTCAGTCTAGAGAAACATTTGCTGTCCTTTCAGCCTCGTAAATTTTTACGCACATTCTCATTTCCTGGAGTAGATCAACGTTATAAATCGAATAGTTTCATCCGCAGTGGATAACAATCCCTACGTCACGCCTCGTTAAAAGTCGTAGTAGTAAAGCTTGTGTTTAGCTTGCAGGGTCATCGGTCCTTGTCTTAAGTTTATAATGTAACGCATTCCTGGTCTTGAGGTAAGCTCCAAAGTTAGGTTTATAATCTAAGAATTTTTTCCTCTTTGCGGATATTTGTAGGATGTACATAGTGACTATAATAGGTATCTACAAAATTAATGTCGACACATAAAAATGTATACGAAAATAAATGCATGTAAGGAGTACACATATGTTTATATTGTTTTTACAGACGAATAAAAAATGTGGACAATAGTATAATTTAAGAATAAACGTATTTAAAATATCCCCAAGAGTATAGATAATATTTACATCAAGTATACACTAGGTATATAAAAATATATAATGAGTATAAAGCAAAACAAAGAGCGATCTATATTTTATTCAGGACCTATACCGTGGTTCTGCCTGTCAGAGCCAAGGATGGCACCATATCAATTGCGCCCACTACTTATTTTCGACATTCGTATTTCTAGAATTGGCTAAGACTTCGATTTCTGGCTTACCCAGTGTTTTTCTTTGATCCGCCTCTAGATGTCATTTACTACTCAAAGCTCGCATATCTCGTAAGCTAGGTAAAAAAGCCAATCCTATCAGTGACTACTTGTTTGGCCACCAATATTTCAAGCAGATTTTTAATAAGCCTTTCAGTGGCCTCTTTTACTGATGTCGCAAGTAGAAGAATATCCCTTCAGCGGCATGTTAGGCCATTTATGCCGTTAAATCCAAGAGTACCCCTCAGGCCTTACGATCAATGATTATGTCCTTGACATTGAATGTTACCCCCCCCCCCCACCCCTAAGTGCTTAAAGCGCAAATTCCTCTCTGCGGAGACGCAGCAAGTAGAAGAATATCCCTTCAGCGGCATGTTAGGCCATTTATGCCGTTAAATCCAAGAGTACACCTCAGGCCTTACGATCAATGATTATGTCCTTGACATTGAATGTTACCCCCCCCCCCACCCCTAAGTGCTTAAAGCGCAAATTCCTCTCTGCGGAGACGCGTCAAAGGGGCTCCGATAATTATAGGACAGCCAACATCATGTGGGTATTTAGATGAAATTTAAAAAAAAAATGCTTTTTAAATTTAAATTTACTATTCTTTTCGGGATACATTTTTTGACTTGATGTCATTTTAAGAAAGAGCATATGGTTATGTGGAACTTATGTAGTATTGATCCCGACTGCTGAATCATCACAAAGCTCTTACATTAATCGATGCTTTTAGAAAAGAATTATTGAAGTTTCATAAAGATTGTAAAAAAAGCAAAAGAGAGCTAAACATTTTTTTTAATCATTTAACTCAAGAGATGAAAAAGAAAAAAAAATTGTATTCAAGGGCGGCATAAAATGGTAAAAAAATAATTTTAAACTCAAGGTCAGTACAAGCGTAGTAGGTAGTCGATTTGGGTGGGACTTAAATGATGAGTCATCAGTTTATGAGCTCTTTATTTGTGAGTCATCAGTTTATGAGCTCTTTTTTGGTGAGTCATCAGTTTATGAGCTCTTTATTGGTGAGTTATCAGTTTATGAGCTCTTTATTTGTGAGTCATCAGTTTATGAGCTCTTTATTGGTGAGTCATCAGTTCGTAAACGTGTGTGCTAGTGAGTCTGTAGCAGGATGTGAAACATGAGTGGCCAGCCCAATAGGTATAACGGGTAACTTTGACAGCGTGTAAACCAGTCGCTGACCTATTGTTAAATATTAAATTTAATACCCAATAGCCGATGGATAGAACTATTTATCTGTCCTAAATGCCCACAGAGAAAACAAGAATATAACAAAAAATGTGACAATTATCTTTTCTCTCACGGAACATTTTCAAATTGATTTCTTTGTCCGTCAAACAATTCTCCCAACCTATGGCACAGACAGCGTCCCTCACAACTACTACAGTCAAACAATTCTCCCAACTTCTGGCACAGTCAGCGTCCCTCACAACTACTACAGTCAAATAATTCTCCCAACTTATGTCACAGTCAGCGTCCCTCACAACTACTACAGTCAAACAATTCTCCCAACTTATGTCACAGTCAGCGTCCCTCACAACTACTACAGTCAAATAATTCTCCCAACTTATGTCACAGTCAGCGTCCCTCACAACTACTACAGTCAAACAATTCTCCCAACTTATGTCACAGTCAGCGTCCCTCACAACTACTACAGTCAAACAATTCTCCCAACTTATGTCACAGTCAGCGTCCCTCACAACTACTACTTTATTATTATTATTATTATTATTATGAGGCACCGAATTCACTCAAACTAAGTCTTAGGCGGTACAGAATACAGAGAAAGACAACTAATTATCCGCTAAGGCTCCACATGACTATGTTCTACCATTCAAACTAAGGCTCCACATGACTATGTTCTACCATTCAAACTAAGGCTCCACATGACTATGTTCTACCATTCAAACTAAGGCTCCACATGACTAAGTTCTACCATTCAAACTAAGGCTCCACATGACTATGTTCTACCATTCAAACTAAGGCTCCACATGACTATGTTCTACCATTCAAACTAAGGCTCCACATGACTATGTTCTACCATTCAAACGGCTTGTAGGCAGAGTCTCTACTGCCGTATTTTATGGACTATAAGACGCACCTTTGCTTCCAAAAATTGCCTCTAAAATTCAGGTGCCTCCTCTTATTCTCGAAATTAATGTACAAATGGTAAAAATGTTTTTTTTTTTTTAAATGCTTAAAAATTAAGGCGCGTCTTTATAGTCCATATCGTCTTATAGTCCGTAAAATACGGTAAATTTTTAAGTTTAACTGAAAGAAAATTTCTCTAATTTTTCCCCCACCGTGCCCCTTACTGGGTGACCCAGCTTAACGAGTGGGAGAACCTTAACATACCACCATCCAGTCACTCTTTTTTTTCTCAATACCCTTTGAACAGTTCATTGGGAAAATGAGGTCAAGGATCAAGAGTCGAATGCGCATTAGGGGGAAAAAAAAGGGGGGGGGGGGT